ATATATATGTGTGTGTATATGTATATAGCTGTTGTATGCAGCTGCATGTATATATATATATATAAATACTCAATGGTTATATATATATATATATATATATATATATATATATATACTTGTCTATAAATTTATATATATATTTACACGCAGCTGCATTCCTCAACTATAATACCCTTAATGTTCACAAGGACCACTTCATTATTGTCTGTGAAATATAACAGTTTAAGGTTGCTGTGTTTGCGCGCGGAACAGCACGGTGTCGGGCTGTTGTTCAAAAACAACAGTTGCGTGTGTCGATTGAAACGGGAAAAACTTACAGAGCAATCACCGTTGCAATAGTGAGATTTGAAAGAACGGGGAGCCAACACAAAGTTCCAGCCGATTTCTTCGAAGTCGACGACAATAGGATGTAGGCAGCATGGTTTCCTTTCAACTTCTGGACATGCTTGAGTTGGTGGTGTGCGTGTGAAATGTTTTCGATTTCTAGTTGTGATATCTAGAACGGGTCTCTATAATCAGATATAGAAATTCTGAGCAAGTACACGTAAATACTTTATAATGTAGTCAACCTCTAACCGTAATCTATACAATAAACTCGTTTATAAAATAATGATTGCATAGCCGTATATTACTATTCACCTCAAAAACGTAACATCGTGTTTGGATAACAAGGTCGTATCCTGGTATCGGAAGGGTATATATATATATATATTTTTTTTTATTTTAACAAAATAGCATTACATCAAGTTTTCTGATGGATGCACCATTAAATCACTTATAATGTGCAGTTCACATCCGATTTTATTTGTGGTCAAACTGTATAGCTTTAGTTCAGGCTTATGAATTTCTTCATAAGCCTGAAAAAGTGCATTAAGTGGACGAAAGCGAGTAAAATAATTTTTAAAATGTTGAGTTATAACCAGCTAAAATACAGGTATAAATGGTCTTGTACGGTGTGTTGTCCTGTAGTTGTCGTATTTTAAGTGCGCGAACTTTTGTAGGTCTACGTTCGTGTGCACCTAAAAATTATTTCCGCTACCCAATCAGTGAACAGTGGCGTAGGCCTAACGACGAGCTACGGGGCCCGGGACTGAGACAGTGTTGGGGGCGGGGGTGCCCAAGGTGTCACAAAAGTGGCAGAGAGGACAGTGTGTGGGTGAATCACGTCCCTCTTAAAGCTTTCATTAATGCATTAAAGCATAGTGTCCATAGAATCGCTACAGTCGTTACAGCGTTTTCATTCTAATCCTTGCACTGCGTAGCAGTCCCCAACGCAATCGGGAACATTCCCTGATTCAACTGACCAATCAGCGTCGTCAATGGAGTAGGAAATTATCGTGTAGCGATTTTTATGGAAACCAGGCTAGGCTACATTATGCAATGTCAATACCGTTGTTCAAAATTTTGGCAGTTAAATTTGTTTATTGCTAGTTTTGAGTGTCCTTTTACGGTCCGAAGGCTCTCTAGTAGTTCGCTTTTTGTAGTAGAAGGAGGAATCTGGGCACCCCTTTGAAGCGGGGGGGGGGGGGGTCCGGGCCCTTCCCACCACTCCTGAGAGCCCACAGGCATTACGCCACTAATTAACTGAATCTCAAAGAAGTTTCTTTTCTTGAATTTACATTTCATTCAAAATTATTTCTAAAACCGTAATATGAAATATGAAAACTACATGTTAAATTGTAAGAGGTAGGGTGAAACAATTGTATAGGTATGATGGTATCTGATAATTGTGTTCTTTAGGCTAGGTCTAGTAGGTATTTGGATATCATTGACAGAGGCAAGACTCAACAACCATATCCGAAACTTCTTGGAATGTGAATTCGTTGTGTCTGTCTGTATAAACCATTTTCAGGGGCTTTAGTTCGGTTGGGGAACAGCACTGAGCGATAGCCGACTCTTGATTCAGCATTGACAACTCAAATGTTCCGGACCCTAACAATGCACTTATGGGACATTGGCCTTTGCAGTAGTTGGCGTAGAATGCCGAGGGTGCAATTACCCAATCCCAGCCGAATTTTTTGAAGTCTATACGCAATTTTTCCATACAACACACACTACTGTTCGTGTTACATTTCTGTGTCCGCTTGTGGGATCGGCCATGTCGTCTTTTCTTGTCGAATTCCACGGAAAACACGGGACTCTGTCGACAAGAAAACAAACTTAGTGACAACATGGCCGATATATTAAATTTTGTTTAATGAATTTAATTGAATACAGTATATAGGATTCAAATTGATGCAGGAATTATTGTTATTTATGTCATTTATTTTATTCGCTTGGAAGAAATACTGTAATGTAAAATTTAAAAAAACTGTAATAAAAATAGGCTAAAAAAAGTAAGCATTAGGCCTATATTATACTCACATGTCTGTCATTTGGTGCGGTAATAACTAAATTGTTTCCTGCACTATCATGAGCCTCCAAAACTATATAGCGGTGTGCTATTGATGGGTCCTTCGTCCATTCCCTTGTTAATTGGCTAGCGTCAAAACGTTCCCATGAACCTTTGGCAGTGCTTAAAGAAATTGTTTTTGCTTTGTATAACTTCTTTTTCATGGGGGATGTGGGCGTAGCTTCAATCAGCATATACACACGGAGATGGGTGACTGTACGCTGAACAACAGTCGCTTTGTCCACGTATACCCATAGACTTGCCACTTCAATAGATTTTCCTTTTAATTCAGTGTTAAAACATGCAGAATTCGGAACGTCGATATCTTCAGGTGCTGAATTGAAAAAAAAATATTAAGATTAATGGTATCATATAAGCTTTATTTTACAACGTCCAACAAGGAGGTCTTCCATCACACGAGGCATCTGTCATATCAAATATATAAAAACCCCACAAATCCTCTCATCTGTCAAATAAAACATACGTAAGTAGTAAGAAGTGGGATTTGTGAAGTGCATAATAGTGAGGTCTCTATGCGCTAAAGTGATTTTCTAAAAAAGTAAAGAATTAAAGTAGGGACTAAACTAAAAAAAAATGAGTCTCAAGCCGATTCTTAAAGATATCAAGAGAAAGAGATTCGGTCACAAAAATAGGCAAACTATTCCACATCTTGGGAGCAGCAGTAGAGACACACATAAAGCAGATGAACTAGATGTGGATCGGAGACTAGAGATCTAGAACAAGTGGTGGACCGACGTTTAACCAGGTTGGATAGGCCTATGTATGAAGGTGATATGTTAAAACCTCACAAAAACAATCAATAGATAATTCATGTAAAAGAATGAAAATTATTTATTTCCGAAGAAACACAGGTGAAATAAATGAAAGGTTTCACAAATTTACATGCTTTTTACTACCAAAAAAATCTATGTATACAGATTATATCAGTATATACATAAATAATCGAATAATAATTGATTATGTGTATATATATGTATATATACAATATATAATTATATACACATATAAATTTCTATGTATGTATGTATACATATACATACATACATTCACACATACACACAAACATACATTGTCTGTGCGCTGAACCGTGGAGATCTATAGGTGCCTTCCCATAGCTGCCTCTCCTTGTGTTTCAGCTAGAGGGCTGAAATACAAGTTACAATAGCGCACCGTTTTTCGCCGTTGGTGCCGTGTGCATTTATGGTCCATATGCACGTTAAAGAAAGCAGTACACTCTTCGAAAAAGAGTAGGGGATTGTCTCTCGGTGTACTGCCCTATCTACTACCACCAGAAGGAACCCACTGGAAATAAGTCTTCTTCTAGACTTTCATGGGGTATCCTTGGTGTTTACACCGAATAAATACAATACAATCCAATCCATAAATAGGCCTACATATAATCAATTACCAAAATGGAAAGAAAAACATTACATTTTCTGTTTGCAGTGTAAACGCTGTCTCTTATACACATCTAGATGTGTATAAGAGACAGGTGTACTTCATTTCAATCATGAAGAAAAAGGATGCAAAAACTAAGTAAGGCCAAATTTTAAAAAATTACTTGTTTAGCGTCATATCAGAACACAATTTTAGGTGGGGAAGGGCGGTCTTTTTGTTTGTTTTTTTTTTTGTTTTTTTTTAAATTTTACAGTATCAGTAATCAAATAAAATGTGTTAAAATTAAACATTTTCAATAGGCCTACAATAAATATTACACCTAGTTGGTGAAATCATTGTTTTAATTCACTTAAAATAGGTCTATACTTATTTTGATTAGAATTTCCTGGGCAATTCATTTTTTTGAATTAAATAAACTTTTTATTTTGCTTGAAAATTCAGGTGGGGTGGTGACGCTGAACATATATATATTTTTTATATATATATATTTTTTGCCTAATTTACGTTTTTTATCGAATATAAAACGCCCCGCTTTGAATAAACGCCCCCTCCCGAGCCTCATGCCGTGGAAACGCCTCCCTCAAATACTCTCCCCACCTCCTCCACAAAACTGTAAACAAAACTAATGGACAACATCATCCTATATTCTACTCTAGTAGAATTACAGTTGGTCTTGGGATCAATAATGTCTCCATGGTAGGGCCTAATGCACTAGCACATTCTGTCGGCAGTTAATTTTAACATTTTTAACATTTGACACCCACATATAAACAAGTTGATATTAATATAGTTAACAACAAATGTTTATGTTGGTCACCGAATATGACATTATATTTTATTAGGCCTACATGTTTTCGACAGTAACGACTTGAAAGAAGTGCCACTTACGAACAGTTGCCATTATGAGTACACGTTTAACTGAGGCCGTAGTTTCCGAACCAATGACGTCTGTGTATTCAGTGGGTTTATCTGCAAACATATTTTCGTCATCCTCCATATCTGCAAAGTGCTGTAAATCTTCAAGAAAAGGTGGATTCTCGGGTAGCTGTCCTAGAGTGACATTCGGTGGGTGTGTCAGGCCAAGTTTTTCCAATATAGATGACTTTATCATTTCAATTTTCCATTCTTTAACTCTATCCATATCACAAGTAGAACAAACAGGCGTCGATGTAGTCTCGTTTGTAGAGGCAGCTATTGTAGTGGTTTGGACTTTACTGGCATTGTGCAGCATGCGTGGTGATGCCATCTCCACTGGGATTGGAGAGGCGATCAATAACAAGAGGTAAAAAAGCATATTGTTTATGGTGTTAAGTGCTATCGAAGCCTACCCATAAATGATGAAATTGCGTACATGCTGCTTTTTATACCCCATTGCTGACGACTTCTGGCAACCATTAACCAATCAGATGTTAAAGGAAAGTGCTTCAGCTACAGTGATTCTGTATGTTAACACTACCTTATTCCACGACGGAAAACAGGTGGATGGGATCTATATCTTTGTATGTTTATGAATATACATGTATCATTGTCATTTCTGATGTCCAAATTAAGTAAATATAGATAAGTTTTCCGTATCTTGTTCAAATGTAATACGGTACAAGTAAATCACTAAAATATATAAAAATTGACCAACTAACTTTTTTAACAACTAACTTGTACATCTAATGCATTGTATATTGCAATTACCGATAAATGACGTATTTCGGAATATAGGCCTATAATATGATAAATTAATATTATATAATGTAATTTATTTTGTCCCACTTGTTTCTGACTCTGACATGTAGAACCTATAAATATTAATTTTAAGTTTGAAAACAACGATGTTAGTTAAGTGTTTTCATGGAATTATACAGTATTAGTTTATATACCGATTATGTATGCTTTTTGTCACATTTTATTCAATTGGAAACAGCTGACTTGGATATCTTCGATATCCTTGTGTGTTTATGAATATACATTTGTCATTGCCATTATACTGATATACGGGTTAAATAAAATGATAAGCGTTCGTATCAGAGGTGCATTGTTTTGTCAGGTTGGCTCAAATAAAACAAGTAAATTAAAAAAGACGTAAAAATTACTGTTGTTATTAGATTAGAATTTTTCAGAATGTTTCATCGTTTTGCTGATTTTCTTAATTGAAATAAAGTAAGTAAAGAAAGAAAATGCGATTTTTATTCACATTGGACTAAATTTATTACACAAAGCTCAAAGGTAATGCCACTTTTAGCTCGTCAACTAAACCTATCACGACCATAAGTACTAGAAATCACGTGAAACAATAAATTTGTCTTATTATTTTTCTAATTTTGTCCTAAAAACATCGAATGTTGCAACCGAACTCCGAACTAGAAAACCAGATGCATAGGTGGAGATGTAATTTTAGAATTGCAAGATTAATGTGGTGTGGTATCAGTTCAAAAAGTGAATTTTGTCTTACAATGATTAATTATGTTTTGTGCACATAGAAAGTGAATAACAAACTGATAAGAATAATTATTATTTTCATTATTATTATCATTATTTTTGAAATCTTAAATACGTAGGCCTATATATTCCTATACATATATAGATATGTATATATATAATGCATATAAAATATATATTTACATGCGGTGTATTATACATAGGCCCTTGTGGCTCAATGGTGTGTGAACGTTATTGTATTCCGATTGCAAATTATATCATTACTATTATATTATATATAATCGAATATTTATGTCGTGTGTGGTTGTTAAAATTTGTGTATTGTTGTTAAACATTTTTTTCAGGAGAGTCCCGTGCCTGCTGTTTTCTTTGCTCATGTTTTCACAGCATATTTTTTTTTTAAATCGCTAACAAAAAAAACAAAAAAAACAAAACAAAAAACGTCTATACATGACAATCTGTTTTCAGTGCTTACGTACATAAAACCTCGAATAGAAGCTCAAAGGGCTTTATCTCTATCTCGAAAAAGCCCCCTCTTTAGTTGGCAAAAGTAATCCCGAAAAAAAGCCTATGGGCTACTAATCAAGGTAATTATGGACTTCTTTTCGATACAGTATTGTACTGACGTTGTATCTGATGATTATGATGGCGTGCCATTCAATATTATATTGCAGCATGGCTTACAGTTCCCGCACGATTATAATCGAAATGGTACTGAATTTGGTCGAGGATTTCGTGCATGCATTCACTTTTAGAAGTCGTTTAGTGGAGAAAGGGTATCTTCTTAGCTGAATGAGCTAGATTGAAGAAAGAGGAATATACAGTAATGAATGAATTATGATGTATAGGAAAGATAATGTTTGACAATAAAATAAAATAAAATATAACTTGCATTGGTGATCTATGTACGTAGTTTGTAGGAAATAGAGTAAAGTAAACAATTCTTTCTTGTGCTTTTTGTTTTAATTACTGGTTATAGATCAGATCTGCTTTCCTGACCCTGATTTTTTTTTTTGGAAAAATACATAGCTGGGCGCTTGGCCGAGGGTACTGTTCCTGCTTCTTGTACTGAAAACTTTGGTTACAACATCGGATTTTGAACTGGAAGGCAGTGGGCATGGTACTAGCACCGTATTATGGCCACTGTGGGTCTCCACGGTCCCTGCCGAACTTCTAATTCCAAATTTGGAATAATGACAAGAAATAAAATAAAATGAAAATTAAAAAATGATTCATTAGTCCGATGATATTGATTGATTATATAAATATTATAGTTAAATAAATAATTAAGAAATATGTTAGGCCTACATTAGAAAGCGTGGCTGTCGTTCTGTTGCATAAAATATTGTTAAAATTTATATTTTTATTCAAGTCATTGGGAGTCCGCCACTTACAAAATTTGAAACATAAAACAGCCGAAGATACGTTGTTTTGCCTCGGAATGGTATTCAACATTGTTTTAAGCTGATGGCATCTGATCGAGAGCAAAACCTAATAATTGATGGTGTTTATATAATCAACCTGGGGCGGATGCAGGATTTGGCGGTAGGGGTGCGTGCAAAAGGAGCGCAAATCTGTTTTGAAAGGTGGGGGGACATTTCGTGGAAATACTACCTGTAGTGGATGGGCGGAAATGACACTTTTATATAGTAAAATTCATCATCATCATCACATCACCATTATATAGTCAAAATGAAAGGCCAACAAATTCTCATGATATTTTATCAGCGATTTTCGGAAACCACTTAGACCTCATTAATAATGTGTGATGTACCATAATAGAAAATAAAACTTGATAACATTGTCTTTGATGTATTTACTTTACCACTTCAGCTGTTAGTCAGCTGTTAGTACACAACTACCTCAGCAACACCATGGTTGGGGCTAAGGTGAGAATATTTGAGGAAATAGTACTTTCAGATGGCCGGAAATGACACTTTTATATAGTAAAAATCATCAGATCACATCACCATTATATAGTCTAAATGAAGTGCCAGCAAATTTCTCATGATCTTTTATCAGAGATCTAATTAATATGAGTGATGTACCATAAAAAATAAAACTAAAGAAACACTTTCTTTGATGTATTTAATTTACTTGACCTACAAAGCCGTGAGGTCACATCCACACCATGGTTAAGGCTGATGGCAGGAAATGACACTTTTAAATAGCAAAATTCATCATCATCACATCACCATTATATAGTCAACATGAAGCGCCAACAAATTCTCATGATCTTTTATCAGCTATTTTTAGGAATGTGAACGCGCATGCACACGAACCGACGCTTTCGATTCGCGCGAATAAATTCGCCTACTGGAAAACCGACTATAAGCCTTTAAGAAACAGGGTTTTAAATACAATGTACACAGTGTTAAACTGAATAAATAACATGAAGACACAAGCATTTCTTCTGGATGTTTATTTACGATGATGTAGGACCTACAGTATGATAGGCCTACCGAACTACGGGAATACGTGAAATAGGTAACATGGGAACGGGCATAGAAGGCTCCCCACGCCAATATTTTTCTTACAAGCGCCACTCTCGAATAAGCGCCGCACTGAAGCCTCCAAAATATAAGCCATGGAGTAGGCCCTATTCGAGTAAGGGCAGGGTCAGTTAGGGCAAAAACATCATTCCTCTTACTAACTTCATGATGCAAGCGGGATACCATCTGTTGTAATAAAAATTTACATATAATCATAAATGTTATGGTCCTGCAACATTTCAGAAGGATAGGCCTACAACAATTTGTTTCTGAGTTGCAAACATGGGAACTTTAACACTATTTTTCTCGAATAGTGAAAATATCAAGTTTCGGATATCTCTGGATCCGCCTCTGATTTTAATCCAAACGGTGCTTCTACAGGAGTTCCATTCGGTGAGATTTACTTCGAAGGTATAGGGCCTATTAACAATTAATTTTGTGTACTTATATGTAGCCTAATATGTTAAATTTTATTTATGGATTTGCATGAAAACACCATTAGCATGTGTGCTTGGTTTCCACTATTAATTAATTCTTGCTCTTCACGGTTTGGAATATTTCTTTACCAACTCCACCTGTTATATAATATTATGATCAAATTATAAAGTTTTTTTGTTACATGTTTTCAATGTAGGGTCCTTTAACAGGGGAGGATTGGGGTGGGGGAGCCACCCCCTCCCCTTTTAGAAGGTAAAACAAAAACAAAAAAACAAAAAAACAAAAAAAGAAAGAAAGAAAAAGAAAAAAAAAATGATAGCTCAGAACGCCTCAGATGTTATTTCAGGCGTCTAGAACAAAAATTTCGCGGGGGCATGCCCCCGGGCCCCCAGGGCAGTGTCGTCTCGGTCGACCCCACTTTCGCCCACCCCATTTTTGGACATCTCTGGATCCGCCACTGCTTAAGGTTATAATCAAGATATCTTTATGTGTGCTATCATTATTGTAAAAGTGTGTTCAATAAACCTATATATTTAGGCCTATCTATCATTTCCAGATATTTTTTTGTGATAATGCTCAATTTCTGTATCCGAGAGTTTTTTCCTAGCCATATTTTTTATGTGCGGTTCACTTCAATTGGAGATACTCTATTATAATTCAGAAGTTTCAATTTTGAACCCAAACGTACTTTATGGCTTTTTCCATATCAGGGCAGTATACCTATAATAAGCATAACATAAACACTACTACAATGACGCTGTCGCCGTACGATGACCCCGACATTGTATTTGATCCCGTTTTACCATTATGTCTAGGTACATATGCAATCCTAAATGCACATTTGTGACCTATCTACGATCACCTCATTGCTCTGATGTATGCTTTTACTGTCTTTTAAAAATTATAAATGTAGGCAAAGAATTCATTTTACAGCCAGACGAAAACTGGAGTTGAACTAACAAAGTACTCTTTAAACCGAATATGATAGCCTGTTCAACAATAGTTTGAAATTACTAAAATTGTTCTTTGCCATAGCAGTTTTATAAATTCTTAATTAGGCTTTTAATACAGTGTGAGACTGACTGAGGGTCAAATGAGGGGGGAACAGGGGCGCATGTCGCACCTCTTACGATTTTTCCACTACCCATTCTTTAATTAAACGAAAACATGTAATAATCTTTATTTGTTTCCTGTATTGTTTTTATGCAATAAAGTGATTTTATATACTAATTATCTTATTGAATTACGTTATGGGATTGCTTGATTATAATAATAGTTAACTATTCAAACTACTTACATTGCCCTTTTTCTCATATACATTTTAAAGAAAATGTCTACACAAAAGACGGAAGATGGTCTTATTCTCCTGCAGTATGTTATTCTGGGTTAATAAAACGTGGGTTGCATTGTAACCTGTAAACATATGTTAGCGGTGTCAGTTTGGCGAATGTACGATAACGTCTCTTTGTAGAAACACAATTCGGCGAATCAACTTAACATTCTCAAATCTATAGTTTGCTGAATGCCAAATTGCCGAATCCACTGCTTAGAGATCGATCGCTCCGATAGATAGTTTAAGAATTCTCAAAGGGTAGGCCTTACCGAAAATGAATAATTAATATTACACAGACTCCTTGTATAGTTATTACAATCCTCATAATGCAGCTTGCGCATTGCCAAAAAAAAAGTATATCCTATTTCGTAAAATGGGCATAATGAAATAATAAAATCTGTATAAAGAG